GTCGAGGCTGCGGTGGCCGGGAGCGGCCACTGCACTCCGGTCTGGGCGACCGAGTGAGACTCCAACTCAGAAAAAAGAGCTTAGTAAAGTGAGAAGGAATCCTCCTGACTAAGCTTATATAAAATATCCCCCATATCTTCCCGAGTCGCTGGTGTGGGCCTTGGGCCGGCAGGTTCTGGCAACTCCCAGGCACTTCTGGGGCACCGGGGATGGCGAACGCTGCAGTGAGGAGTTGCCACCCCTCCCACCCCCTCTCTGCACCCTACTCCTGCGCTCAGTCCTACCTCCAGGAGCCGGCAGGCCGCCTGCTGCTGCTCCTGCTGGTCCAGGACACGGGCGCACACCAGGGCCACGTCTGCGTTGTCCAGGAAGTACAAGCGGAGCTGGCTGTCCAGAATGGCCGCAACCAAAGGCTGCACCTCAGCCAAGTCATCCTGGAGGTCCCGGCACAGCCTGCCTGTGAGGGTCACCAGCTCCTTCGGGGGTGGGCAGCTGTCCCCATGCTCTCTTAGCAGAGTCATGAAGCTCTGCATCCCACGTCAGGTCGGGGTCGCTCTGCCAACACAGAGAACAGTCAGTACTGATCACATCCTTTCTGTCCATTCATCCTCCAGCCACTCCCTGAAGCAGTTAGACCATGGCCGTCGAGCGGTGGACGCATTCGAGGTAGGAGCAGTGAGAGGTCACACATCCTGAGAAAGGTCAGGCCACATCACACACCCTCTAGGACACACAACGTCGAATCCCCCCAAGTAGCTGAGTCCTTCATGAACTTGATTGTGCTCGAAGCCCCGAGCCGGGTGCCGTGTTCAACAGCTCGCCTCTTGTCTCGAACCTTCCATCTGACTCCCTGGGGCCCTGTCCACAGACCCCCGCCCGGTTTTCTCGTCTTGCCCTTGCCTTTCCCTTCCTCCAGGCTCAGACACAAGTTGTAATGTTTCACCTCACTCTTCCCCTGGGCAGGGACCTTGTGGTGGGGTTCACCAGAGGTTCCCACCGTCTGCCAGCTGGATGCCACGGCCTTCCATTCAACCCCACGTCCACACACTCATTTTGAACAGCCAGAGAGCCTGCGTTGGCCAATACTTCATTGAGGGAGGGGGTTCTGCTGGGTTTCCAGACTGCAACAGTCCCCCCCCACCCATGGTCCAGCACCCCCCTACCTTTCAGGGCGCACGGCTGCCTGTGGAGGTTGAGACTGTCCTGGGGCCCCGGGTCCGGGCAGCTCGACTCTCAGCTCTGCAGGCCCCACTCGGCCCCGCCCAGCTCTCCGAGCCAGCTGACCCTTGGGGCGAGGCGAGGAGGCGCCAAGGGGCAGCGCGGAAGGCACTGGCGCTACAAAGTATCCAGGTGGCGGCCAATCCTGGCGAGGCCCCATCCGACGACCCCACCTCCGGGAGGTTTAGGGGGAGTGCGGGGGATTCCGTAGGGTCCGGGGGACCTCGGAGTCCGTGGAGTCCGTGATGTCCGGGAGGACCCAGGGGCCCTGGGGGTCCGAGGGTGCCGCGGGATCGGACGCCAAGGAGTGGGCTGGGCGGGCTCGGGGGAGGGGCGCAGTGACCCCCGCTCGGCAGCCGTGACCCGTGACTGACCCCACTCCGCCCGCCCTGGTGTAGGCGGAGCCAAAGTCCTGCGGGGGTTGCAGCCCCAGGGGCGGACCCCTCATTCCTGGGCCCGGGGGAGTGCTGCTGGTTTGAGCAGAGTTCAGAGGTCAGTCTCTCGCGGGGGCCCGACCCGGCCGGGCCCGGCCTCTGGGGGAGAGCTTAGAGCCCCCCGGCTTCAGGCTGACCTCGTCTGTAGGATCCCGGGCCTGCAGGTTCTGGGCACAATGGGGAGGCCCTGGGGAGCTGGGGGAGGGTCTTGGCTGACCTGGTCAAAGACGGTTCGGAAATTGCTGCAGCCTCTCCCCTTGAGTTCACCGTTTTGTAAGGTATTTTATGCAGTAAGCTTGGAAGGTGCTCTGGAAATGTCAGACCAAGAAGACTTTGGGTTCGTTTTGAAAGGTGGTCCTGGTCTAAGTAGAAGGAAGAAAATGTTCACGGACATCACAGCATATGCATATACCTATGCAGAAGACTTGGGCAGAAAGATAAATAGTATGTGTTACAGTGAAAATTTGGAAACAATCGAAAAATCTGGTGGAAGATTCACTAAATAAACCTCAGTTCAGACAGAGGATGGGCTCCTGGAAGGATAATTGTTCTAGGGAAAAATGCTTACAACCTGACTTATGATCACGGTACATTGTCCGACAAAAATGGTGTGTTATAAGATGGCGAGGAATATGAGCCTGTTTGGAAAGTATGTCAGTATGCCATATTGTTAAACCCTGGTTGGCCTTGGGTGATAGAATTATTATTTTTTAGTATTTCTTCTCCGATGCTTTAGTTTTCTTCTTTGTGCTTATGCACATTTTCTAATTTTTATGAAATAATTGTCTGGACTTCTATTTTTAACTTTCTTTTCAAGAAAGAGAAAACAGGACAACAGGGTTGGCCAGAAGCACTGAGCGACCCAGTATTCTGAGGTCTGAGCCACTCTGATGTGGGTGGAAAACAGACTAGATGGCGTGTTCTTACGACAGGAGAATACGACAGGACCCTATTCTTAATTGCTCTTTACACACTAAGCATCAGCGAATTTAAAAGCTCACTGGGACCTAAAGTGTCCAAGTACCTATATTATTAAATTTAAATAATTTCCACACATTTTTAATTTTTATGGATTTTTATTTTTTTAGAGATGAGGTATTTCTATGTTGCCCAGGCTGTTCTCTGACTCCTCAAGGGATCCTCCTGCCTCAGCCTCCCAAGTAGCTGAGACTATAGGTATGTGCCACAGCACTGAGCTGAATTCAACAAATTTTATTTCCCTAATTTGTTGTTTTAAAATCAGTTGCTTTAAAAAAAAATAAAATAAAAAATAAAATCAGTTACTTTTTGTTGTTGTTGCCATTTGCTGAACAATCAATATGTCCCAAGTAAGAAGCTACTGACTACAAACATTGTCCTCTGAGCCTCCTAATCTGCCTCAGAGTGAATTTTTTTTTCTTGAGTCAGAGTCTCACTCTGTCACCCAGGCTAGAGTGCAGTGGCATGCTCACGGCCACCCCAGCGTCCTCCTGCTGGGCTCAGGCGATCCTTCCACCTCAGCCTTCCAAGGAGTTGGAACTACAGGTGCACACTACCATACCTGGCTAATTTTTTGATATATTTTAGAGACAAAGGCTCACCAAGTTGCCCGGGCTTGTCTCAAACCCCTGAGCTCAGGCAATCCTCTCATCTTGGCCTCCCAAAGTGCTGGGATTACAGTCTTCAGCCATCAGAGTGAATTTTAAAACATTTTCTAGAGGCTGTCTGCCAGTAGCTGGCCTCCCTTAATGGTTATACTTGAAAGTCTACATTCTCTCTTTTTTTTTTCTTTGAGTTGGAGTCTTACTCCATCGCCCAGGCTGGAGTGCAGTGGCATGCTCATGGCCACCCACCCCAGCGTCCACCTGCTGGGCTCTGGTGATCCTTCCACCTCAGCCTTGCAAGGAGCCGGAACTACAGGCGTGTGCTACCATGCCTGGCTAATTTTTGATTTATTGTAGAAACAAGGTCTCACCAAGTTGCCCAGGCTGGTCTCGAACCCACAAGCTTAGGCCATACACTGGCCTCGGCCTCTCAAAGTGTTGGGATTATAGGCTGAGTCACTGAGCCCGGCCTCTATTTTCTTTTGTTATGGAACACTTCGCGATTTGCATGTCATCCTTGTGCAGAGGCCATGCTATCTTCTCTATCATTTCAGTTTTAGTATATATGCTGCAGAAGTGAGCACAAAAGTCTATATTCTTGATTGGTCCACATATGGTAGTGTTTACAACGAATTATCCCAGCTAGTTACAGATTCCTTTTGTATTCCACTGTTTACTTGGTTAGAAAAAAAAGATCTACAGTCTTAACTTAAGCACTTTGGCATTTAAATTACAAGTATTATCAGAACAAATCCTTTATAAGCTTTGCTTTTTTTTTGAGTGATGGTCTCACTGTGTCATCCAGGTTGGAATGCAGTGGTATAATCATGGCTCACTGCAACTTAGAACTCCTGGGCTCATGTAGTCCTTCCACCTTGGCCTCCCAAAATAATACAGACATGAGCTGTGCCTGGCTATAAGCTTTACCTTTAATGGAAGCTTGATCTTCCAACAAGAGTTAGTGCCAAAATGTAAGTAACCGATGCCTATTTGTAAATACAGGTTGTCTCCCCTTTTTCTCCATGCTCTCTAATGCGAAATACAGTCATTAACACGTAATGCATCTTATGGCATACTTTCCAACTATTTCTAGACTTTCTATTTCCTCCTGGACCCAGGCTACCTGGGATAGACTCCCAGTTCAGTTAATAGCTATCTGATCTTGTGCAGGTTTGACCCTCTCTCCCATTTGCTAAAATGAGGATAATAATAGGACCTCTTCCTTCGGGTTTGAGATAAGTCAGTACTCAATCAGTGCTATCTTCATCATTATCATAATTTTGTTTCCTGTACACATAGTTTGTTTTTAATACATTCTTAATCTAGTAAGTTCCCCCCCATTGCATTTCTTTTTCAGAAATTTCCTGCCAATTTTTGTATTCTATTTTCCTCATCAAAATTAGCTGAAAACTTTTTTTTTCCTCTAGATCCACGGAAAGCTGGAAGACCTTTTAGCTCAGCCTCCTAAGAACCTCTGCTTCACCCTGAACTCCTTTCTTCTAGCCAAGAAATGACCTTTATCACTGGGGGCTGCCCTGAGGGCATCCTGCCCCATCTGCCCTGCCCCATGGCCCTGGAGTAAGTAGTTCTCAGGAGATTTGTCAAATATCTTTCTGCATATTAGAAGTTCATAGCTGTTGGGGATCAGTCCTCTGGGCCTCTCCCATGGGAACACAAAATAACCGAGAGCCAGTCTTCTGGGAAACATGCTGGCAGGAGAAGAGGCGGGGTGCCTGACATCCTGGGTAAAATTTCGTGAAGGACAGAAGGAACATAGAACTTGAGTGTTTTGTCAGTCCTTCCTTTTTTCTGGGAGGCAAACAGAGTCCTTAGAAGGCAGAGAACAGGAAGACAGGATCATCAATGCACAGCACTCCCCTCCCACAGCAGACTTATCTAGAGAGGATTAAGAATGATCCCTACACTTCTACACTGTTGGTGGGAGTGCAAACTAGTACATCCTCTGTGGAAAACAGTATGGCGATTCCTAAAAGCTCTAATTATTGACCTCCCATATGACCCCACAATCCCCCTACTGGGAATATACCCTGAAGAACTCAAGTCACTCTATAAAAAAGATACCTGCACATGTATGTTAATCGCAGCACTGTTCACAATAGCAACCATGCTGTCTATCAAAAGAGAACTGGATTTAAAAAATGTGGTACATATACACGATGGAATACTACGCAGCCATCAAAAAGAAAAAAATCATGAATTTCGCAGCAACGTGGATGGAACTAGAGTCTATAATACTGAGTGACCTCTCAGAGAAACTAAGATCTTGGTATCACATGTTCTCCCTCATATAGTGGACCTT